TATTTTGTGATAATCAAGAGAAATAAATTGATCACTATAGTAAAATAACTTCTTTTTAAATAGTTAACCTTTAGAAAGGAGAACAAAGAATACTTTTAATTCCACAAAGGAAAGATGATACAGTGGAAAGAACAGAGCTTCAAGTAAGGCAGCTTGCCACTTTTTAGCACGTAGGAGAAAAAAAAACTCAAAGAAATAAAGAATAGCAACTATACAATAGCAACAAAAGCAATAAAATTCTTAGAAATAAAGTTAAAAAAATGTCAAAAGCTTGTGTGAATAAAACTCCTGAGTCACAAAAATTAACTTGAACAAATGGAAAAGACAACCTCTTATTCCTGTATAATTGAATATCACAAATAGATTAGTTGTTACTAATTTATAAAATTAATGAAATTCCAATTTAAAATAACAACTTTGTTATGGAATTAGCCAAAATGATACCCAAGTTCATACAGAAAAGTAAACATTCAAGAATAGTCAGAAAAACACGAAAAAGAAAAGTTACATGGGTGAGTTAGCCCTACCAAAGAAACAAACAAACTAAAACATTTAAAGCACGGTAATTAAAACAGTGTGGTACTGACATAACAATATACAAATAACATACTGGAACAGAATGAGAAGTCCAGAAATAGACCAATGTATGCAGAAATTTAGCATATAATAACAATGGCATCTTAAATCAGTGCAACAAAGATAGAACTTTTAATAAATTGTACTAAGACAACTGGTTAATGATATGGAAAGAATAAAAATTAGATTAATCACTCACACCATAAACAGGAACAAACCCCATACAAAGGAATAAACTTCAAATGAATCAGAGATCTAAATATAAAAAGGGAAATCTTACCAAGTACTAGGAGAAAATAAGGGTGAACTCTTTACCTGAGGAAAAGGCTTTTTTTCAATAAGGAAAGGCTTTATAGTGAAAAGGCTTTCTAACCATAACTTAAAATCTGGATAGAAGAGAACAGTAAGTCTGACTACATAGAAGGGGTAACTTTTACATGGCAAAATATAGACTATATAAAATAAAAATACTATTCATATCACAGATAAAGACTAAATTCATAATAAAGTCTTCAGAGTTAAGACAAGAAGACCAAATATCTATTTTAAAAATGGGCCCACCAAAAAGACAATTAACACACAAATAATAAAATAGACAGTGAACAGATGAAAAGATGGTAAAATACATCCACAATAAGACTGTAAATTAAATTACCACCTACCAGACTGGCAAATATTGAAAAGTAAAACAATGCATGTTGTCAAAGCTGTGGGGAAATAAGGACTCATATTCCTGGAGTGAATACAAATTGGTATAACCCTTATGGAGAAGAATTTAGCAATATCAAACAAAGCTTCATATGTGTTTATGTTTTGATTGATCAGTCCTTCTTTCTCTTAATCTACACTGAAGATATACATCTAATTTAAAAAGGACGTATAAAAGGTTTTCCTAACAGCACTCTTAGAGATTTACAAAATACTAAAAAGAAATTAAATATCCACAATGAAAAAATGGTCGAATCAATGCTGTAATGCTATCCTATATAACAAAGAATATGTAAATTAACTCATGTCCTCACAAGATGGCTGCCTAAAAGACAGAGCTTTTGACACTGACTAGCATAGAAACCAACCAATCAGAACCAAATCTGAGTGAACTGTGAGGAACCAATTGACTGTCTCCAAAGCAGAGTTTTGATCCTGACTGGCATAGAAACCGACCAATCAGAACCTAATCTGGGTGAACTGCAAAGGCAGAACCTACAGTGGGGGCTTAGGAGGGGTTTTAAGGGCAACAGCTGTTTGATGTAAGATGTAAGAAAGTGGTTCAAATTTTTAATGACCAGTTTGGTAATATAGTGCATGTGGCTGGCTATCAGTCCAAATATAAGAATTATATATTTTTGTCTACCAAGAGCATCTCCTCCTGCTGAAAAAGCCCCTCCCCCCATTTAAGCAATCATATCCTATATAATCTCTTTATACTAATAAAAGGGTAATATGCTAATTAGACCAGGTAAACCAGCCATTTTCTGGACGCCTGACTTCCTTCTGGACAAAGCCATGGTGGTAGGGGCCAAGGCAGAGGCAGTTAGGGGCAATCAGGCTGGCAGGGGAGGGCAGTTAGGGACCATCAGGCAGGCTGAGACAGTTAGAGGTGATCAGGTCAACAGGGGAGAGAAGTGAGGGGAGAGAAGTGAGGGGCGAAATCAGGCTAGCAGGGGAGGGCTGCTGGGGGCAAGATCAGGCTGGCAGGGGAGGGCAGTTAGGGGCAATCAGGCAGGCAGAGGGGTTAGTAGCAATTAGGAAGAGGCAGTTAGGGGTGATCAGGCAGGCAGGTGAGCAGTTAGGAGCCAGCAGTCCCAGATTGCAAGAGGGATGTCTGATTGGAGAGGGTGCAGGCTGGGCTTAGGGGGAACCCCCCCCCCCCTTTTTATATCCTTTTTATAGCTGCACTGGGCCACTAGTGCAGCTATAAAAAGGATATGCAATGATTCCCAGGAACTATAACTAAGAGAAAAAGCAAAGTACAAAAGAATATCTCTAATATATTCTCTACCTTTCATGTAGGAAAGAAACAAAGAAAATTATTCTTAACTGCTCATTTGTGCAAAAGAAACCCAGAAAAAAAAAAAAATGAGATTGGCCATTTACAGGAGTGAGCACAAACAAGACAAAGGGAATACGAGGGAAAAACACTTGTATATTTCTGATTTTTGGAACCAGGTTAGTGTTTCACAGATTTTTTTTTAAATAATAAAAAAGAATGGAGATAAAGTTCTAAGAATGGATAGATACATACAGAAACAGATGGATCAAATTATATTTCAAATGAATAATATAACTATGCTAGCAGGAAAAAAAATTTACATTAAAAAAAATAAAAATAAATTTAAAAAACAAGACTGAACCAACTCAAATATCTCTGAACAGAATATATGGGTTTGATACAGCAATGTTAAAATGTAATAAAGCACTCTGGAGTCAGACTGCTTGGATTTAAATAGTTAGCCATTTATCCATGTGTTAAGTGTGATCCTGGACAAGTTACTTTATCATGTCTTTGTGCACAGTTTGCCTAATCCAAATAATAACCAATCTCATAATACTAATGTTATGTCTCAAAATCACACATGTAAAAACATTAGATCATAATGCATATGAAAAGTACTTGGTATTTGTTATCATCAACTACTAATCCAAAGAAATCATTGCATATATGGGTATCCAAGAGACACAGATACTAAAAATGGAGTCCTTGTCATGAAAAAAATTTGGAAATTTTCAAGTGTTCAAAGAATTTAGAATAACAAAATCCATATGGCTGGCTGGAATCATCTGGGAAATTTCATAAAGAAAGAGACTGACATATGTCTTAGACTTAGATAGCAGAAGAATGGGAGTGATATAGGAAAATAATGGGAATCTGAATAAAAACAGAGAGGTCATAAAGACCAAAATAGATCAAGAGCCATGACACAGAAAGGTTGGAAAGCTGAGTATCTGAAGATTAGGCAAGACTATGAATGCTCCTGAATGTATAATTGAACAGGGCAGGTTTTATTTTCTAGACTATGAGGAACCATAGAAGATTTGTATGTAAGAGAAACAACATGTCCAAACTGAACTGTGGGATTATTTTAGTGTTGGTAGTATACAGAAGGGATTAGAAGGAAGAATATCAGAGGTAGAGTCTTATGAGTGGTTAAGGCAAACAATGATAAGGGCCTGACTAGAATGGAAATGAGGAAAAGAAAGAAGGGATAAATCAACAGGCAGTGGGGGGAAGGGGGGAAATCAATCAACTTTGATAATGATTGCATATGAAGTATGAGAGAATAGGTTTTAGAGAAAAGAAGACTCTGAATGATAAGATAAATGATAATGCCATTAAAAGGAAAAGAAATGAAAAGAAATCATTTCATTTCAGAAAAAGGAAAAGAAATCAAATCAACAGAAATGATTTCTACTGGGTCTTAAAAGTTAAATCAGGGTTGTATAAGAAGCCTTGCCAATTTGAGATAACAGCACAATACTGAGATACCAAGAACCAATGGGCATTTGGCAACATGGGAGTAGTGATTGGGAAAGAGAACTGATGGCAAAAAACTGTATATTTCTTTCCTAAGAAATTAAAACCACCTTAGAATGAATGTTCAAGACATTCTAAAGCATATAGACACTATCATGTGTGCTATTTCAGAGCAGTAATCACCTCACTTTTTTTATATCCCTTAATGTTCCTAGAACACAGGGGGGAGACATTCAGTAAAATGTTGCAGAGGTGGGAGGAATAGAGAAAGGTATAGAACTGCATGTCTTACTAATGACATAACCTTGACTATAGGCACAGGTCTCCTGACTCTCCACTACACCATAACATAGAGATGACTTCCAAACATCCATGCATAGGATCCCTAAAGCAGTGGTCAGCAAACTCATTGGTCAACAGGGCGGCAAACTGACCACTGCCCTAAAGAAATGGTGTAAAAAATGACAATGAAATGAACTGTGGGGATTGCCAGTTTCTAGGGACAGATGGAAGGGAGACATAAGAAAACAGTAAAGAAAGATCAAAGTTATTGCAGAATGTGTGTCTATGGGAAATGACAGAGTTGAATAATGGATTCAAAGGAAGCATAATCAAAAATATCAAATGATCCTCTGCTACAGGCAATGTTTCTCTGGTCTCCTATACCTGTGAGACCCAAGGCAGGAAAGGTAACTTTTTAAAAGTAGAAAGTAAGATGTTTTAATATACCTTTCACAGCATTTTAAATGCATGCATCACTCATAGCAATAGTTCAAAAATAATGCAATCTTCAGTAAATTTTATTTCTACACAATATATAGCAGAAAATAAAAACACTAGTAAATAGTTGAGCTGAACAAAAATATGCACAAATAAATGAAATGTGAAGCAAAAAGAAACAACTTAAAATACATTGATAGCAAAATACATGAAATACTGAAGGTCTTACCTTAAATCTCTTGTCTTGCAATACTTTCTTGATGGCAACCAATTCTCCTGAATCACAAAGTTTGGCTTGATATACCACACCAAATGACCCATTTCCAATCACTTTAGTGTCTGTATAGCTGACTTCTTGTGGCCTGTCTGGACCCTGCCCAGGAGTTGCCACTACTGTGGTCACTTTACTGCCATCCTTGTCTCCTAAAAGAAAAAAAGGTAGACAAATGAGAAATGTAAAGAATTAGAGAAAATTGCCAAAGTATACAAATTAAACTATATTTTTTGCCACAAATTATTTTCAAATGTTTATCTTAGTTTATCATAAGTAGTTACTTCAACTATTTGTTTCAATTTAATATTTCTTTCCCACCATTTATTCCATAATTCTATAGATCAGGCACACCATGCTTTATACATGTGACTCTCTATTTAATGGAAACAACACCATGAAAATAATAGTACTATTCCCATATTAAACATAATGGGAAGAAAGGTGAACTTATTAAGGTTTGATCCCTATATATACAATTCTAAAACCCCTAGTTATTTCCTCAAGGCTTCCTTATTATACTTGAAAATAAAATATATGAAGCTGCAAATGTCTAAATATGCTCAGTATTCACATCACTCTGCCTGTAGGAAGGTAAGGGTTTGAGATTTTGCTTCTTCATGTCTTTTTTTTTTTTTTTAAGAAAACAGTGGAATGCCTCACAGAGGAAGGTCAGATGGAGGAAAGTAATAGGAAACAATGTTAATTTAGGAGTAGGAAATGCAAAACCTATTCTGAACTTAAGTCTCATTCTTTAAATATCTGCCCCATCATGCCCTCTCCTTACCTTTTATGCCTTCCTTCCCCCTGACCCCGACCCAGGAACAATCCAAAGACTCTGCAATTCAAGCTCAAGAGCCACTTCCTACTTGGGCATAGTTCACAATAACCTTTTCCTCTGAATTCTTAATCTACTCTAAACCATCCTAGCTAACTAGCACCTGATTTTAGAGCTCTACATTATTCTGTTATTGATTTCAGAATACATACAGATTCTTGTGACTACAATCATTTGAAGTAGCAATTATGATTTCTGCTACTTCTCTCTTCCCTGACAAATCTAAAACCAATTCTCAGTACAATATAAGTCCATAGCCTCAATGACTAAACTACACATTTTCCTTTTTGTCCTCTACTACTTTAATTATCAATTTTATTTTTAAGATGCTAACCTAATAAAAGAAAATATAATGTAATATTTAACTCTAGATAGCAAGTCAAGATTATGAAGTATTCATTTGTACATAATATATAAAAAGATAAAAAACTAGATTAAAAAATATAATCTAGTTTTCTAATAGCTTGAGTGTTTTCTCCTACTAAATATAAAAATGCAAGATAACTGAATATACAAATATTAATGTTATATTATAACCAATATTTATAGTCATTTAAGTTCACAGAGATACTAATATACACAAAAGTCAATAATAGACACAGTCTCTATTATATTAAAACCAGCTAACTTTTTAAATTTTTTTTATTGTTTTCAGAGAGAGGAAGGGAGAGGAGAGTTAGAAACACCAGTGATGAGAGAGAATCATGGGCTGCCTCCTGAACTCTCCCTCCCCTTCACTGGGGATGGAGCCTGCAACCCAGGCATAGCCCCTGAGGCTCCTGATTCACGGGTCACACAAGCTGAACCACCAAGCCACACAAGCCAGGCTATGGCCAGTTATCTTAAACACGTCTTTAGTTCCAAGGTGAACCACACCAATAGGTATGATTTAGTTAGCACAAGTCCAATACCACTTCTAGAAAGAATAACTTAAATCTCGTCAACATCATCATTTTTATTTACAACAGTATCATATATGCTTTAAATGTATATAAACCTGAACACAAGCCAACACATATATAACAGTTCTCAAGGTTTTCAAATGCTCCCTTCACATCTCACTTTCAAGTAAAAGAAATCTTAACTATACTGGCTAAAAAGTTTGGCCTCGCCAGTTTGACTCAGTGGATAGAGTGCCATCCCTCGGACTAAAGGGTCCCGGGTTTGAGGTCAAGGACAGGTACTTTGGTTGCAGACTTGCTCCCTGGCCCTTGTCGGGTATGGGCAGGAAGCAATCAATTGATGTGTCTCTCTCACATCAATGTTTCCATCCCTCTGTTTCTCCCTCTCCCATCCACTCTAAAAATCAATGGAAAACTATCCTCAGGTGAGGATAAAAAACAAACAATTTCATTTAAGCTGAGTTCTAAGTCATCAGGCTCCATTGCCCCAAAATACGCTATTACTTTTGTTTCTGACCACGTGAACTGTAACTCAATTTTTCAGGTTGACTACAAACTTATCCAATAAAGGGAAATATTCTAATTGATCATCATTCCATCACAAAGATGGCTGCACCCACAGTTGAAGCCAAGTTCCCATAAGGAGACTTAAAGAGCAATCAGTAGGGACCTGAAGCTATGCCCTCCCCGGCCCCTGTGGGACTTGACAAGGGACCTCAAGGTGCGCTTCCCATCCTGGTGCTGGGCTAGGGGACCTCAGGCTGCTCCTCCTCTCCCCCATCCCCCCAATGCCAGGCCAGGGGACCTCAGGCCAAGCCTCCCACCTGGTGGGGCTTGACAGGGGACTTCAGGCCAGTTTCTCCCCCCTATCCCCCCAGCACTGGGCTAGGGACCTGAGGCTGCACCCCCATGCCTGGTTGGGCTTGACAGGATCTCAGGCCATGTCCCCCACCCAGCAGGACTTGACAGGGGACCTCAAGGTACACCCCCCAGTGCTGGGTCTGGGGAACCTGCCCAGTGGGGCTTGACGAGGGACCTGAGGCTGTGCCCCCCTGCTGGTGAGGCTTGACAGGGGACCTGAGCCAGTGCTGGGCTGGGGGACCTGAGGCTGCGTGAGCCCCCCAAACCCCCTGGCGGATCTTGACAGGGGACCTCAGGCTACCCACCCAGTGGGGCTTGACAGGGGATTTCAGGCATGTCCCCCACCTGACGGGCTTGACGAAAGACCTCAAGGAACACACTCCCGCCCCGGTCTGAGCTGGGGAACCTCTCAGGCCATGCCCCCCATCCTGATACCAGGCCAGGGGACCTGAGGCTACCCACCTCCCTGGCGGGGCTTGACAAGAGTGGGACTGGCCGGGTCTGAATCTAGCCCAATGGGGGTAGAGTGGACCGGTCGGTTCTGGGTCTCACACGATTTTGACGTACGTGTGGATGGGCGGGGACTTGACTCTGGGTCCCACGGTGAGCCCCAGACTCTGAAAGGAGGAAGGGTTTCATATACATTTTACTAATTTTCTTTCATCTCTGGCACTTTTATTATAGAGAAAGGGCAAATAGAATATTAAATTATTTCCTCTAATTAATCCCCTTTTAATATGCACGAATTTCATGCACCAGGTCACCACTATACTACTAGAGGCCCGATGCATGAAATTCATGCAAAAGTAGGCCTTCCTTCCCCTGGCTGCCATCACTGGCTGCCTCTGGCACCTGGGACTCCAACTTCCCTCTGCCACCAGTAGGTATCCAGGACCCAGGCTTCCCTCTGTCTGCTGGCAGGCACCCAGGAGCTGGGCTTCCCTCATAGCCCCAGTTTTGTCCAGAAAGTTGTCCGGGATGATGTCTGGTCTGATTAGTTTATTATACTTTTATTATAGATAAGTTATTTTCTTATTCTTTGAAAAATAAACTTGTATGATAGCACTCCTAAAGAGAGAATCACAGTCTTTTGAAAACAAACTCTACATAAAGAGATCTAGAAAGGTTAGATCCAGGAAGATTAAAATCCAAGGCATTGGATACATTTTCTTATGCTCCAATAGTCCCAAAGAAAATTTCAAACTGAAGTGATTTAAGACCAGCTTTTATTAAAAAGAAAAAAACTATGAATTAATAATCTCACTGAACAAGTTGCTTGCAAAACTTCACAGGCATAAATCACAAAACAAAGCATTATTATTTTTTATTAAGATTAAATAAATAGATTTTAAGAAGGACTGCTGTATTCTACAATTTTAACTGAGAACAAAAGCTGTCTAGGATATAATCAAAAATTATGCTTTTCCATTGTATAACCATATTTCAATAACAAAACAGTAGTCACAGCTTTGTTCTTGCTCCGATAAGAGAATTTCAGCAATATACAATTGTGTAATGACTTTCCCCTCTTGCCTCCTCTGAGGCTGCATTTGTAAAAAAAAAAAAAAAAAATTCACATTTCAGAGAAATGGTTTCAGAGTCCCAAGAATCAGCTATGACAGCTATCCATCACAACCCTGGGATTTATTTTCTCTTTAACCTCAAGAATACTTGGGAACAGCAGCTACCTCCACATCATGATCTGTATATAAGATAATGCACGAATCAGATAATTCTGTAAAAATATTAAAAACGAAGTAGAAAGGTAAAATCTACTCCCTATAAAATCTATCACCAAAAGAGACTCTAGAGGCCTCTTAATTTAAAACTGATTGAATATAGTCAAGGACCAATCCTTTCACCTTCCTGTACATTTAGTAAAAAAAAAAAAAAAAAAATCTTAAAAATTTACTATTTTAGCAGAAATTAAAAGATTTACTCTCTTTGAAGTATAGAGAAATAGATAAGAACTCTTATGGACTATACTATAAAATCCATAAGCATACTAGGAACAATGGCTCTCAGGCTTTCTACCTCAAAGCAACCTGGAATTTTTATTCAGAAATCATCAAGCTAGCCGGGACCGGTTTGGCTCAGTGGATAGAGTCGGCCTGCGGACTGAAAGGTCCCGGGTTCGATTCCGGACAAGGGCATGTACCTTGGTTGCGGGCAATTCCCCAGTAGGGGGTGTGCAAGAGGAAGCTGATCGATGATTCTCTCTCATCGATGTTTCTAACTTTCTATCCCTCTCTCTTCATCTCTGTGAAAAATCAATAAAATATATTTAAAAAAAAAAAAAGAAAAAGAAAAAAGAAATCATCAAGCTAAAGCATTAGATTACTCCATCGTAAATCTAAAATAGCAGAGCCATACAGAATGGCAAGTTACCACTGGGGATGACTTGGCCTGCACATTAGCAGCACATGGGATAGTCAGCAGCTAGTGTGCCAAGGAAAAGCACGTCATCACTTGGCATTGTAACTTTCTGAGTTAGCAAGAAACTAACAGCTGTATAAAATTTCACTGTACAAAGGACTTCCAATTCATTATT